GTTAATGTAAAGTCATGAGTAAACTATGCCAACCAAAGGTCTTAACCTACCTAGATCCATCAGCTCTGTTAAATTAGCTATTGGTCATCTACTTTGTATTTAAAGGATCATTTTGACACTTTTTGTATTTGTGAGGTTATTTTTATGCCTTCATTACATGATTGACAGTAGAGAGAAATTGGGATTGACATGCAACAAAGCTCCTCGGCCAGACTTGAAGCAGGGGCATTGGGTTTCATGGTCAACACTTTAAACCCTAGACCACCATGGTGCCCTGGACCATTTTAGAAATTTGATGAATATTTATATTTCTTTACAAAACTGGTAGATGTGAACCTACATTAATGTTGTATGGATGTATCAATCAGTGCAAAAGATATGTAACAACATAATCTAAGTTCACTAACCAGCTTTCAACCAGCACTCAAAATTAAGGATGTCCCATTGTCCCGGAAATGAATCAATGAAGTGACACATCAAAGGGTGGAATCTGCTACCTCAAGGAAATTTATTGTTCTGAGACTATTTGTAATAAAATCCAGATCAGCTATATATTAGTTCAGTTAGTTCATCAGTGCTTTTCGTTATTTTTGAAGAGAAAGCACAGAATTACCATTGTTTATTTTCTAAAATGTAAAATAAACAATTATTTAGGGTACAGCAATATTTTGAACAAATCACTGATGGAGACTGTAATGTTGTGATGATGGAAATGTAAACGGACGAAATACACAATTATTTACTGCATGAAGTTATGAACCACCCATAGCTAAACAATCAGCTGGTTACTGTTAATTAGTAACAGTAATAAGTTAGTTAACTACTCGTGCTAGCATACATACCTGAAGTCTGTGAACTACAAGGCAGGCAGTGGAAAACTATGTATTTCTCTGCCTGTAGTCTATATGATGCACTTTCCATAAATGATGGGACAGATTGCTCTCAAACATCTTCAGCATCGACTCTGCCACATTTACGTCTCTCGGCCATCTTGTGTGTGCTGTAGTTTTTGAGATAATGTGCACGTAGGCTCAGCGAGAGATCTCTCTTCTGGATTGTAAATGGCAAAAATGCATCATAGCTGTATAAATGTCTCAATCTTGTTACAAGTTAGACAGGTTTGGTGATAAAATATGCAAGACAACATTTAAGTAGCAATAATAACTAGGAAATGTATTTTCTTAACTTCTCCTGATCTGAAAGCAGAACCGATAACATCGGAGCTTATCGATACTACAGTCTTTCATAATTTAGCCCAAGGAAGGAAAACCTTTGAACTGGCGACAGGGCATGAACGGCCAAGGCTCATTGATGCACGTGGGGAGGTAAGGCCAGCCCGTGTGGTCTGATGCAACAGACCAGCTACTGTAGGGCACATTGCTGAAAAAGTTAATGCACTAAGAAAGTGACGGTTCCTCATTGTCGCCATGTCTCTCTCAGAAGGATACTTTAAAAACTTCTGAAAGGCATCTATACCCAGACTAGACTGCGGTGCAGAACCAGGGCATTGAGGTTATAAATAGTAATGTCAACTTGTATAACACTGTATACAAAGCCCCTAATAACAATAACAGTTTGCAGCCTTATACTGACTTTAACACAACTCTCCTGGAATGTGTTTAATAACAAAACTTTGAAGGAAAAAGGTTTTGTAATGATACACACACACACACAGATGCACTCGTTTCATCCCTGCATGTTAAACACTCCACTGGGTTTTAATGCTCTTCTTTGTTTTTGTTTTTTTTGTTTCCAGTAAATCTCTAAAAATAACAATTGCAGTTTCTTTCTGAAACACCAGTAATCCCCCAGTTCAGAGGGTTTTGAAAAGGACTCTTTCTCTCCAGGCTCCTTGCCAACTGCTATTTTATTTTATTTTTATAACTCCCCTGGTAGTCATGTTTCTTGCTACTTCGCTGCGGTCTTTGTCTACCAACTTCACAGTGATGACTGTTTTTCTTTTCATTGTTTCTGTCTCACTGGTCCACAGGCGGTCCGAGTCACTAAACCCAATATTCCAGAGAGCATACGCAGGAACTACGAGCTCATGTGAGTTTTCTTTTTCCTTTTGTGCTCAACACAGTGTTCCTTGAAGCCTGTTTAGTTTTCTCTCCCAAATGGATGGGCATGATGTTCCTCCAACACCCCTGCCAAGTCCTGCAGTGGAGGAACACTCAATTTCATGCCTTTCATCAATCAACAGCATGTGCTAAGTCACAGCAGCTATTATAAAGAGGAAATGAAGGATTTGTAGTAAGCTGTAAGGTTCAGGAAAGTGGAAAGTGAAAGTCTTGAAGTCAGATGCATACATATTCAGGCAATGGACAGAATTTTGATACTGTTTAATGTAAAGGGCAGTGTGTCTAACCTGTCCCCCCCACAAACCCTGATTTAGCGTCAACTGCTCTGCTTTATTACCTCTCAGGTCTATTTATATTATGTTTTGATTGTAGTGGCTCTAACTCAGCGTTGTGAATACAGTCCTCGCTTCAAAGGAATGTCTTTAAGTTCTTTTTTCCATGGCATCAGCGTAAATTTCCTGCTGCTGGAGAGAAGCAAAGCATTCAGGTTTTTTTTTTTTTTTTTTTTCTTCCTTTCCCTCAAGTTACACTCTCATACATTTGACATTTCTCTCTAATAGTAGTAGTTGAATTGAATTCAGCCACATACACAAATGTCAATTTAGTATTATTAAATGTTCATTTAAATGGTAGCCACTTCATGTCATTTTGCATCTTTGAAAGTTGTCTCCTTCTCCACACTGTTTCTTTGTTTTTGGTATTGGAGGGCTGGTGCACTGCTCACTTCTGTGGGATTTTTCATTGCTGTGGATGGAGTCAGGCAGCAACAGGGAGCAGTCAGACCATTGCAGAAGTTGTTACCAGTTTCCCACGTTGAAAGTTTTATTTGTATTCTGCTAAACAGCATTAGATATTGCAGAGCTACATCTGGATTTAAAGCTACTGCAAAAACTGTCGTATTTCACAAATGCAATTTCAGTAGGCAGTGGATAATTAGAATTTGGATGATCCTCATTTTGGTTTCACTTTCTAAGTGAGTCAGAATATGTTTAGATTAAGCTGTGTTTTTACTGCCTGTGAGACAGTCTGAGCGTTGGTGTCGCTCAACTAACTCGGCTCCAGTTATATAAACGGGTCTCGCCAGTTAAAATGTGATCACAGGAAAAAATGAGCCAGTTTGGAGCTGAAAGTGTTGAGGTTTTAGGCTCAGTCCCAATATCTGTCCTGGCTCAGACTGGCCGGTGCTTGAGTGTCTGACTTTTTTCTGCGAATTACCTACAATGCATTGCTTTGTACTTTTAAAAATTAAATCTTAATTTAAAAAAAACACTGCCAAGAACAAGTTTACATGCATCAGTAAAGGAAATGTCTCGCCTGTGATGGCATCTAAAATCTGTGCCAGTACTGGGTGCTTCACTTTTTATAGGATTTACTGTAATTACCAGCCATACCCTAAATTGGCACCCTTCACATCAGCACCCAAGTCATAATTACAAATGATTGCTCAGATTTTTCTGAAAGCACCAATATCTGCATATAATAATAGTACTTAGCGCTGTTTAGCATTTTAACCTAACTATCTTTGCTGTCTGCCAGCAATGGCTAACCTAGCAATTATGAGTGCTTGAAACTTGTTGTATTGACATCCTTACTCTACCGACAGCAATCTATTGCTTTTTCACTTTATTCTGACAAATGGACTTTTACTATTATGAATGTCGTGCCACGATATTTCTCGTCAGGGGAAAATCTGTCTCGCGAGACGCATTTGACACTTTTCACATGCTGTCACACCACACATCAGTTTTCTTCTCACTCAGCGAAAAACAAGTGAACAACTGACAACGTTGACTCACTTCGCAAATCATCCCCACCTAGGTGACGCTGTGATAGTAATCAAGTGAACCCTCGTTGGCGCTTTGAGTCGCATCCAGTTTCTGACTGAGTGTTTGCGTGTCTGGTAGCGTTTTGCAATATAAACATCAAAAAACTGAAGTGTGCCCTGTTTGGGACTGTGAGCTGCACTTGGTGAGATTTCTGCCTCATCACAAGTGTTTTCAGTTGGTTTGGATTTCCACCTCTTTGTCTCGTTAAAATACGACGTCTGTGTAGAGAACACAGATGTGGGAGGGATTCTGAATGTGCAGAAAGTTTTGAACATGAGCAGAAAACCTGATGACACACACGAGCTATTGAAGTGCACAGGTTTATAACTTACTTTATCACTGAGGTGAAAAGGTGCCACATTTGAAAGCATTATAATCTGTTACATATTTATATTTTGAATTGTCACCTGCCACCTGAATTTTGTTTCCCTTTACATATATTTTTATTAGATCTTATATATTTATTACAATAAAACATTTCCATTGATGCAGGAAAAAATCACCAGAATGCAAGGAGGTTTCCAATTATCCAGCATTAAAGATTTCTTAAAAATAGTGTTAAAATCTGGTCTCGATCTCATGATTCCAAAATCCTGTCTTGTCTGGTGAGCTAAGTTTCTCGTCACACCACTACTAAATATCCAACTTTGTGCTTTAGTTATGCAAAGTGCCTATAAAGGCAAAGATTCACCTCAGCCAAAGTCCAACTCACGTCTCTCCAATCATACAGTGTCTTCACTTGTTGACGTGAACATGGGAAACATTGGGATTTTTCCATCGCAGTCCAACGTGCATAACGTGAGCGCAGCATAATGTCTTGTTCAAGAACTCCATAGAAGCACTGAATTTTAATTAAATGCCTCACAATCTTACTATAATAATAATAATTAGGCTTCTGATGATGTGCTGAAAATGTGTTCCATTTAAACAGTATTATTGGGAGAGTGAGGACGATGTCAGTGAAGCCGGCTCTTTACATGCCCGCACAGTCCTGAGGAGAGGTCTAATCAAAGTGTTTGTGTATGTCTGCAGGGAGAGCGAGAAGACGAAGCTGCTGATCTCTCAGCAGACTCAGAAGGTTGTGGAGAAGGAGGCAGAGACGGAAAGGATCAAAGCTGTGATAGGTGAGGAAGGAAAAACAAAAGATAACAATCATGGTTACCGGAAAAATTCATTGTACACGCTGCAGGTTGAACATTTCAATATGCTTCTTTGGTTTTTGTAGAGGCTGAGAAAGTGGCACAAGTGGCAGAGATCAAGTTCGGACAGAAAGTCATGGAGAAGGAAACAGAAAAAAAGATCTCTCAAATCGAAGGTTTGTATCCAGTGGTGGAAGAAGTACCTAGACCCAGTAAAAGAACCAGTACAACAATGTATTTAAGGAAAAGTACAGAACTGCTTTCAGAAAAATATCCAGGTATTCGTGGTGAAGAAAATAGTTTGTTTAGTTATTGTGATGTCAACACTGGGAGAGATGCATGCAACCCTACACGAAAAAGAAATGAGTTTAAAGTCAGTTAGTGCCCCAGCCAGACTTTTTATAATGAATTAATATTACAAAGCAACCAAGGTTGTGACCCACTAATCTTAACAATGTATTGTATTATGCAAGCTTTTATTTCAATTTTTAATCTCAAACTAACTGTAGTTGTCAGAAAAATGTAAAGTGAAGAGTAAAGAAATACATATTCTCTGAAATGGAGTGAACTAGAAATGTAAAGTAGCATAAACTGAAAAACAAGTACAAATGTCTCTAAATTGTACATTATTTACGAAAAGTAACTGAGTGAGTAAATGTACTTAGTTACTTTCCACATCTGTTTGTAGGTTCATATATATGTATGTGTACTAAAGCTCATAAGTACTTTCTCTCCTCAAGGCCTTTTTCACACAGACAATTAGCCATGTAATATCCTGAATAATGGCTGCATGTTATTTAGACAGTGTAATTGCACAGGCCTGGGCGTGTGCAATCTGACTCACTGGACATTATGAAATCCTTGATTAGAAACACAAGTTTTTACTGTAAGACAGACAAGATGAGCATCAGGAATCAATGCGAATAAAAAGATATTGATTCGTGATTCCCTCATAACCTTTACTGGTGTAAAGGTTATGAGGGAATCACGAAGGGCCTTTCTGCAGCTGTGTACATTCAGAATTGCTTATTTTCAAGCACACTTGTTTTGTGTGCTGGTTTGCTGTTCAAGTGTGGGAAGCAGCTGTTTATATGTAATTCAGTTTGGAGGGTTTCTTTGTTCTGTTTTTTTAAATCAAACTGCTGCTGTTGACTCTGACAGTGTTTGTTTCTGATTTATAGACAGTGCTTTCCTGGCACGCCAGAAAGCCAAGGCAGACGCAGAGTTCTATTCAGCACAGAGAGCTGCTGAGGCCAATAAGGTAAAGAGATGACACAAGCACATGCCGCACAACTTGGCAAGGACACATGGGGACTGTAAAGTCCAGACTCTGCTGTTATTTTAACTCTGTTGCCCCTCTTGCAGTTGAAGTTAACACCAGAGTACCTGCAGCTAATGAAGTACAAGGCCATCGCAGCCAACAGCAAAATCTACTTTGGGAACGACATACCCCAGATGTTTGTGGACTCTGGCTCTGCAGGGAGCTCTATCAAGGCCTCTGCAGCCATGGACATTGTTGGTGAGCAGATCCTGGACCTGGATTAGCTAGGAAAGTAGTGAGACCCACAGGACCATCCAGGGGTGGAGGACTACCTGCTGGAGAGCATGAGCCTGGCTCACAGGCTGGCTGGCAGGTTCTCCCTCTGGACCAGAGAAGCTGACTATGGCCCGTAATTCTCAAGCATTTCAGAATCACTGCTAGAAATCACATTAATTTTTAGGATGTAAAATTCTCCTACCTCACAGCAGAGGACTTGATATATTTAGGAAGAGAGGGATTATAATAAGCTCCCTTTTTTAAACTCATTTAGCCAAAATAATAATTTGAAGGAGTCGACACCGCTGCTGCTCAGATCATATGCATCAAGTGCGCTCAGTCCATTTAGCCACGGCATCAAGGATCACAGATCCATTGCTGCTTATGTGTTATCCATTTACGTGCATGTGTCCTCATTGAGCATTTGAAGCAGCAATAGTTGAAACCTGTTGATACTAAAGAAGAAAGCTTTAAGGAGCAAAGAATTCAGTGAAAGTAGTGAAGAACACATAGTTGTTTTAGCTGCTTTGTCCTCACCCCGTGAATTGACCGTTTGCTAAACCCCCAGGCACCCCTAGTTCCTGTTGCTATACCTGTCAAGTTTTCACAATAACTGCAGATTTACCACTCGAAATTGTCATTTGTCATTTTTGAAACGGTGGATTCTTGATTTCACACAGAGGCAGACAAACAGGCCTCTTATATCGAGCTGGCGACCTTCAATTTTGTCGAAACTGTCGCTAGCAGATTTTAGAAACCAAGTCTGGTTAAGCTAACGTTAGCTCCATGAGTTGGTTGAAAATGCTATTTCTACTGCCTTTTTAATGTTATCAGCTGATTAGTTTTAAATTCAGCATCCTCACTACTTCCATGTTGAAGACATGGAAATAAAGAAACCACTGTTCTTGTATTACTTTGAGGAGCTACTTAGCCATGGTATTTTATGTATGATGAGACTTCTAGGATGAGAACTAACGGATGTATTTAGCAAATGTTAAGCTTTCTCAGGTAATGCTGGTTGGGGTCACTGTAGTGTAAACTTTCCTAAATCCACTACTGTAACTTTTTTGTCCTCCGGCCAAATGGCTAGTGAAGGTTCAGACTCTACCCGCCACTCAATAGATTATCATTGTTTTTTTGGCTGGTGACTAAAGCAAATCTACCAGCCACTTGCAACTGGTGCTAATTTTGTGTCCTGCTTAAGGAAAGTCGCTGTTCGGTGGTGGGGTGTAGTAAGCGGTCAGTTGCAACAGCTTCATTCACAAAACTTTAAATAAATTATTAAAATGTTGATACTCCTGCTTAAAAGAAGGACCAAATATGTGTCACTCTGAGGGCTAGGTAGGCTGTGATTTCTTACTCTGAGCTGCTTGATGAAATACGGACCCTGACCAGATATGTCACTGTAGACAAACACAGGGATGATGAATGTACTGTGTGGTAGCTGCTGGCTGTCAGATGAAATATCATTTCTTTGTGTTGATATGTTTTTGTGAAATTTCTTTTGAGCACAGGGAACCTATTGAATATTAATTAAATATGTGCAACTGTTGTTGTTGCACCACATTTTTCTGTAAATGTAAGCATCACTTTGTTTTTCACACTGTACATTTAGTGGAGGGACTAAATGTGTGCAGCAGTTGCTGTTTTGCATTAGGAGGTTTATTCAAAACTGGACCCACTTTAAGATTATGTTGGGTTATAACACAAAAAACTGCTTTTGAACTCGAGGTTTTTGTAACCAAACTGCAGACATGTGATTTCAGCTTTTCACAGTAGACAATTTTCAACTTTTTTAATGATCTAAAGTAATCATTTCATGTGCGTCATGTAAGAATGTTTACAGGATATGCCCTGGAGGAGGTTGTTGAAACTGCAGTACACAGGTTGGCTGAACCAGCTGTTTAACAGAGCTTAACTTAAGGACTCATTGTAGAAATGTTACCAACCCTGTATGTCAGAATGTCTTTTATTCATTCTGGATGCCTCAAAACCCTAAAAAAAAAAAAAAAAAAAAAACTTCAGTTAATGTGTCACCCCCTGTCTTAGATGACTGGCTCAGTCTTTGTCTACTTGTTCACAAAATATTTAGTTTCCCAGCAAGTTTTTGTGGAATCATCTAAACCGAGGGTTTTTGGTGTTGCACAGAATGTTAATGACCACATGATGGTTTCCAAGGAACCATTCATTGCATAATTTACTTCAGGAAAAAGGTATGTAGGCATGTTTAGACAATGATTCTGGGAACTTGGTAGGGATATTTTCTATTGGTTGAGCAGACGCAGTGAGAAAATATGTCTTTAATCTGAAGTTAAATGGCTTGGTCTGAATTCACCGTAACTCAGTACAAGTTGCATTGATCATTTCTTGTGCAAACAGTGATTATATTATGTGGTCTGGGCTCTGTTATCTCTGTTGTCTAAAGTTGGTCCAGTTAGCCCTCAAAGTGACTTCCAGTTGTTCATTTAAAAATAATTTCTTTGATTGATTGAGACTTACAATGACTTGAAAGGCAAATGTCTTTGCACTGATTTCAGTTGTGAATGTGCAATCAGGATATTGTCAAATTGACAGTGAAGGTTTTTCTGTGGGGAAATCCATTGCATTAAGATTTTTAAGAACTTACATTGCAAGTCCACTGTGATGTAAAGGATGTTTGTTATTAATAAAAATGTGTTTCAGACACAGTAAAACATATATTATAAAAACAACTGTTGTAATTTCATTCAAAAAATTACTTTTGAGTAATAATTATACCATAATGAATGCTTCCTCACTGTTTGCATTTGTCATCACAAATCAATTTAACAAACTTCATTTTAGGCTTAAATATGAGTAGTTCCTTTTTATCCAGGTTGTAAGGGACAGTGAATTACTCTGATCAGATGACAGATATTAACAGAATAAATATGAAAGATACTTCAGTGTTTAGACTAGTGTTAATGCTTTTAAGTAGGGGGTGGGGTGGATAGGGTAATGCTTGTCAGTAAAGGCACAAGCGATGAGCAGATCAGGAGTGACCTGATAATTAATGGATCACTTCTAAGTAATTCCTGAATACCTCTGAAAACTAATCATGAGTAACTGGGAACGAACCTCTGGATCCTATTTAAATGTTTGTGTAATGATGAGATCATATTTGGGAGGTGATAATCACCAACTTTTTTCATGAGTCGCTCCTGATGAACTCTGATATACATGAATAATTACTTGGTTACTTTTTTTTTAGCCTCCTTACATAATATAGTACATCCTACTATGACTATTAAACTTTCATTACATCATCATTATCTTCATCCTGGAAACTTTATATGTTTTAACGTATGCTTTCCTGTTGACAAAGTAGGAGTTTGTCCACAGAAGGTTTTTTGTTTTTGTTACTGCCAAATGGTTGTTTTCAGTAACCATTCAGGAAATGACTGAATATACATAAATATATAATATAACATAAAGAAGCAGCACCACAAAACATTGCTCTTTTGACCCTTGAGGTTCACATAGGCCTACAGTCCACACAGACTGGCCTCCAGGCTTTACAGTGTCTCCGCTATTTTAAAGGTTCAGTGTGTAAGTTTTAGTGACATCTAGTGGTGAGGGTTGTGAATTGCACCCCCCTCCCCTATCCAAACGAGCAGTATAGCTATGGTGCCTGAGACAGGACAAACATGTCATCTATGAGAGAAGAGATTGCCGTTCAAGAAATTAGGTAAAACTATGTTTTTCTGAATATTATTGTTACTTGTTCACTAATAAACAGCCACATGAAGAAATGAAGTGCTACATATCTCATACTCCTGTAATACAGTATTTTACATCTTGGGAGGGTTGGCTCATCTGGACTAACATACCAAAGTAAATGAAGAAATTCTCAAAAACTATCACATCTAGTGCATCAAGTCTGACCACTGACAGGTGTGATAGAGATAGACGCCTGCTGGGCGCAAGAAATGCGGCTGCCATCTTGAACCGGTCGGCAGACCATCGCAAACATGGCTCAGGGGATTACTTTTCACAAGTAAGATTTAACATTACCGTACTATTAGTTGTATTTTGTGAATAGAATATTACCAAAGAGTTGAGAAGGAGCAAGGATCTTTGATATTACTGTACTGTAATCGTAGCCATCTAGCTAGGCTAACGTTATGTTTACTGTTACCTGGCTATGAACTGAGACTTGATAAATCATATTTGTATATTAAGGTTGCTTTGTTCTTATTTTCTCTGCTCTGTAAATTGTCTTTGAGCACTGTGTAAAGCGCTATATAAATACAAGGTTGCACATTACAAGGTGCTGAGAAGTGCAGAAAAGGTTGACCCCGAGCTTCAACTGTGCAAGTTCCTAAAGTGTCAACAGTCACACACATTATCCGGGAGGAGATTGGAACAGAGTATGCTGTTCTGCTCGGAGAGCACATTGAGGAGACACAGTTTGGCATGGACAACCACCATTCTGATTTGACATTGGTTGTGTCTGTGTTTCTCAGAATAAGGCTGCACCACATTGCCAAACTCACCTCTCTTGAACTGCAGAAAGGGAGCACGAGAAAAAAGCTCTGCAAAACAGGGGTTTTAGCTCATGCAAAGCTTTCATGTGTGTGTGTGTGTGTGTGAGTGAGAGACAGAGGGACAAATATAAAAAGCTTCAAGTAGACTAATATAATTGAATCATATTCAAATCAAATCATAATCAAATATTGTTTGTTTGTTAAGCATATATTGTATTGGTTCAAATTATTAAAATAGCCTATCTGACAGTCCCCTTTTTTGGTTGCCTGTCCCTGACTAAATACAGAAAAAAAACTCTGAATAGAAGTAATAGGCAATGGTTCATTATGTGAGGTCTTGTTCATAGTAAACATAGTTATGGATCTTATATTGCATTGCTATCAATAGATCTACTAACTAACTAAAACTAGACACAATGTCATTTGATACATTGTTAATATAAAAGTATTGATTATAGGCTACTATATGTTTAAAAATGACATTGGTTAGAATTAAACAATGACTGTAGATTATACCCTGTGTAAATTTGAATATTTGGATAATTTACCTTAGAATACGTTTGATTTTGATGGCACAATCATTCAGAAATAATTCTGACATTTGTAAGGGTTCATTTGATTTTTCTTCATCGATGTCCTGAATCTTTTGTCTCTTTAAATCTTGCTTTCATACAGACAAAGAAAGATTTAAATGGTTTTAAGTTTTTTCCCCCTCTGCATCATTCATTATATCATTTTGTTAACGTTGTGCCATAGTTAAAGTGTAATCACTCTTTGTGTCAGATGATAATCAGACCTCCCCATTGCTAAAGAAATGGTCCTGTTATGTGACAGTATCTATCAGAAATCCCCTGAGTTTCCAGCTGCCAACTTTATGGAGGCGGCTCAAGTACATAAAGCGTAGTGGTTCCGTCTGGGGCAGTCACACCGTGCTTCCACATAAAAGATATAGGAGAGAGGCTCACTTTTAATTAGATTTAAACAAGAGCCTAGTTTTTCAGGCATGGGGCCCCTCCTACCAGCATATGAAGAGAAAACTTCTCCAGAAGTATGAATCGCCTTCTGAATGCTCGTGACAGCAGCAGAGGAAAAGTACCTAGATTACCTTATTCTAAAATGTGATGGCAGAGAGTTGATCCAGGATTGATCCTTCTGGAGTACATTCAAAGTGGAGACATATAGCCCAACGTATTTGAAGATCTTAGTTTGGAAAGGAAAAACTGCAGTATTTTTTATATTTAAAACATTTTTTTGGTAAAATTTGGTGATGTTGCTGTTCGCCATACAGAGGTAAAAGCCGTGATGGACGTAAGCTATGCAGAAGATGGAGAAGCATGCGCGCTCATCCTCCAGGGGATTTGGGAGTATGCGCGAGCAGGGCAGGAGGTTATCCTGCTGTCCCCGTACCTGCCTGCGTCCTACGCCTTCTTGACGCACGTCCTGCTCTGCGCACCTTTCCTCGCGCTGGACGCGCTGGCGAGCGTCAGTGAGCGGGTCCGGTCGTGGAGGATCGCGCCAGACTCGGGTCCACCGCCGTCTCTCAGACGATGGTTTGACTGTTTTTGGAGGGTACTGTACAGATACCTGACTACCGTCCTCCCCGCCACCGCAGTCTTTCAGACGCTGAGGAGCCCTGGTCCGTTACCGGAGCTGGCTCCGTCCTGCTGGCAGCTCTTTGTGGAAGTCTTCTCATGTTTCCTGCTTTTTGACATGCTCTTCTTCATGTGGCACTTCTCCATGCACAGGTGAGCAGATGCGCCTATGTTATGTTATGTGCCTGGGCTTCACCTTTATTCTACTGCCGATCATTGATGCTAAACTTCTGAAATCTTTCCTTTATTTGTTATTGATCTGGGTTTCCTTTGGGAGCTGTAGTTTCCCAGTGATGTTGTAGACTCTTTTCCAACCACTAAAAATACACACATTATTAGCCTGCTTTTGGGATTACTGGAGCAAAAAATGATCTGTTGGCAACTTCATAGTCCCCATCAGTCTATATGTCATAATCAGTGGTGGAAATAACTAAGTACCCAGCCATCCAATCTTATGAAAAATAGCTAGAATCATCTCCACCATGTGTTCTTACATGTTAATGGATCAGTAATAATAATGCAGTAGTATAATAATACTGTGACAGAGATCATTTTGCCTGCATAGTGGCTACTTTTATACTTAAACTACATTTTGCTGATACAGGACCTTTGCGTAATGAAGTATATTTACTGTGGTATTGCTTTTAATTAAGTAAAACTGAGTATTTCTTCTACATCTGATATTCGTTTATGCTGTATAATTATTACTTTTAAATACTGAAATAATTTGTACAAATCCTGTTTAGTTTTGTCTTGATAATTATCTTTTAATAAGATGTAGCATCATTTGTAATAGTTGTAGTATTGGTAGTAGCGATTGTAATAGTAGTATTAGTGTAGTAGTAGTACTAATAGAAGTAGAAAAATCAACTTTCTTTGAGTAGACTGCACTGACATTATACCATTCTGGGAATATGATAGTGATTTTCCATTGTAGTAACAGTAGCCTATAAGCAGAGACCGCTTTTTGTCTGTTCCTCATCAGAGTTCCCGGGCTCTACAAGAGGATCCACCAGCTGCATCACCAGCACCACACACCCTTCGCTCTGGCAGCTCAGGACGCCAGCTCAGCTGAGCTGCTGTCTCTGCTGCTGCTGGCTCTGACCAGCTCCTGGGTGGTGGGATGCCACCCTCTAAGCGAAGCCTTTTTCCACCTCATCAACAGCTGGCTGGCGGTGGAGGATCACTGTGGCTACGACCTGCCCTGGGCTCTGCACAGGCTGCTGCCCTGTCTGGGAGGAGCCCCCTACCACCAAGCCCACCATAGTACCTACAGTGGCAACTACGCCCCCTACTTCACCCACTGGGACCTCCTCTTTGGTACATACTGTACATCAGTGCTGCATTCACGTCCAGAGTGACAAAACTGTTGCAGGAAAATCTGTCAAGATGCCCTGATTTTTTCTACAGATTTTGGTTGTTACTGATCAACTTTCCATTGCACGCTCCGTGAGGGATATGGGATCCCACGGTTTACATCACTGCCATTTCAGTCACATCCAAATATCTTTTTAAAATGTATAATTCTCTAAGCAAGACTGCATACTGTCATGTTAACCTGCAATTTCTACAGCTGTTCTATATCAAGTGAATGCAGAACGAGATGAGGAGGGATGACACCGTGAACTAATGTGCAACTTTGTTTCCCTGACATGGGAGTGTCTTTGGATGGATTCTTAAGCTTTCATATTGTAGATGTTAAGCAGATAATATGTCATAGATGTGTTTTGGTCAATGCTGATCATACATGTAGTTAAAAAGGGAAAACCACAAATCTGAGTGAATGTCTGCAGTGAGCTCTCATGCCGGGCCACTTTACAAACTGCTCATGGGAATAGTTTGACGTTATTGTGACATATGCTTATTTGCTTTCTTGCAGTGAATTAGATAAGAAAATTGACATCCTTCCCAAGTCTATACAGTAAATTAGAAGCTAAGCCAGTCAGCTTAGTTTAACACAAAGACTGCACTCAGGGGAAAACAGCTAGCCTGGCTCTGTGGAGGCTCCAGTAAGTGGCTACACCTGGCCAAGAAATGGTATGGCACATAGACTGTAAAACCACACATTTTTGTACAGATTAAACAAATGAGATATAACATGCTAATTGGTGAGCGGATCTTGTTCCCCTTGTTTCCAGTCTTTACATTAAGCTAAGATAAAATGGCTGCTGTTGCTTGATATTTACTGTGCAGACATGAGAGTGGTATTCATTGTCTCATCTAACTCTTGGCAGGAAAGCAAATAAGCGCATGTCACAAAAAGCTACTCCTTTAATATCACAAAATGATTTGATATCTGTCTTTCATTTATTATGAAAGGTAAAGTAAGTCTGTAGTTTGTGCAAAACTAAAATATGTAAGAGGGACTGTCTCCAGTGTAAGAATAATGTAAACATTTGAAGTGAACAATCCTCTTTGGCAAAGACTCTGTTATATTCAATGCTATGTTTGTTCCTTTACGCATGCTTGTAAGGCTTTTTCATGAATCATTATTTCTGCACAAATTTCTGCACAGCCTTACCAACATTGGGCTTGATGAGCATGAGAAAATGTATTAAAGCTGCACACAGACTTAGTGTGTTGTTATTCGCCTCAGGTTCAGGTTTCTGCTGTGCTGCTCTGGTTAGTGAATTGGATGCCCTGGGCTTTTCAAGTGTCTGTTCTCTGTAAACTGGTTCCACAGGGATTGCCGTAGCAATTAAAATCACATGTTTTTAGAGATGGGAAGCTTTTCAGTCACTATGCAGTTTTGACCTTTGTTAAAAAAAAAACAAACAAAAAAAACAGCATCCTCAGCATGTTTTATACAAACTTCTGCTGGCATCATGCCAGAGGATTTGTAGCTGCCTGCTTTTGGAACTTAAAAGCACTTAATCACTCACGATGGGGTGCCAAATTTCAAAGTTCATATAGCATTACTGTCAGGATTATGCGTCATTTTGAGCATGATTTTAACATGTAATAATGCAACACTTATAAATTAGATTCTTTTCACACGCAGCATCCTTCTCTTTAATGACCAATTATATATATTTTTAGGGTTATTACTTTAAATGAAGAGTGACAGTTGTGTTCTCTTTGTCCTGAGAAATCTGTCTGAGTGCAGTTTTTCTTGGCTTGCATAAAAGCATGTGATCAACATTGAACATCTGTTTTTCATTACTGCCTCTTGCAATGGGCTTTTTGAAATTGCGCAACATCAGAGTCAAATACAAATTGTTAAAAGGTGTTTGAACATTTGGAGGTACTTTTGCATATAGTCACAAAAGTAATAGTTGAGCACAGTTTTGTCTCCCTGGGAAATGAAGAGATTCGAGGAAAGAGCGAGGGGTGAGTACTGGGTGGTGGTGTTGCCAAGAGATGGAATGATAAACATGTGACCCAAAACGGAAACAATCAGGCCCTATTACAGACCCCACGTCAGAGTCAGGGCGAGTCATGCAGCTTTGGATGACACACCAAAACACACGTTCACAGCGAGACACACGTCGACGTCCTGCAGCCAACGTCAGGATGTCAGGCACGGGAGCATTACAGGATTTTGAAGCCCTCTGAACTGTCTGTACATTAGGATGTTTGTTTACTTGTTGTAAGGTGTGCTCCTAAGTTAATCACGTAGGCTAAAGCCTTCACAAAATTCTTTCAACAGATGGAGCCCTGTCAAAACAAGACAGAGAAAAAGCACAGAGCACTCTCCAACAGTCCTTATCATTAGAGCAAATACTAAAGACTTCCCATTTCATCATATTTCCTGAAAGTTTGCCATTCAGTGACAAAGGCCAGATCCATATTTCTTCCACTATTCTGTAAATATTCAATTAGTGAGCTATACATAGCTGACACCGCCTGTTGTCACAGTAACTGGCCGAGGTTCTTGCCCTCTGGTCTGTAACCATTTTTAGACAACTTGTTTGCTTTCTGAAACATCTCAGTGCACTTGTCATTAGTGGGCTGTTGCCAAATACTTTTTGAGGAAGCTCAACAGCCAACATTATCATATGCTTTTAAAGCTGAAACTGCAGTTACAACACACACTGTATGTACAGCCACAAAAATAAAACAATAATTGTGTCAAAACAGGACACTAGGAGGTAGCAGACGCACTGCATAATCATCATCAACAGTGTAGCAATGGTATTATTGTTGCATATTTATAATATACCTCTCCCCGGCATTTTCTAAAATAAATAAATGACTAGAATAACTGCACTAACATTGATCATGGGTCTCAAAAGCCCTTTAAAGGAAATATGCTTAAATCTACAAATTCCACTTAATTTTTTTTTATATATACAATACTCACCTGCCTGCTACAAACCAATTTCTCCATTACAAGACATATCTCGCTCTGTGTTTTATGTCTGTCTGCATCTTAGTCTTTGAATTTCATCTTTGACCTCAGTTCTGCCGCACAGACACACACGTGTGGGATACACGTTGTTAACATCAAAGAAATAATAGAAAGTTTTACACGTTTCAGGCAACGAACCTAACCTGTATCCTTTATTGTTCTCCTCTGCATGTTGACACATAAAAAAACCAACAGTGTTCTATGTGCTGATTTAACTATCATAGACATTTAAGGAGAGCAGAAAGAGATGCTGGAGTCCAGATGTTTGTTTGTTTTTTGTTCTCTTCACAAACAGGTTTTCCATCACAGCCGTCTGCATCTGCTAGCTGTCAGTGTGAGCAGCAGGCCATCCATTTTGTTCATTAGCAAGCCTTCCACTCAGTTTCCCATGGTTCTTTGTTTGTGTGTCATGTCTGAACTATGACCTGTGAGCTGATACTGTTGGACTGAATGATCTGAATGTCAGCAATGCATTGTATCATTGGTCCAGCAGCTTCTTCCTAAAATAATGGAAAGGAACGCTGACAGACCAAGATGCTTTGATTGACAGCTGTAATGTGGGAAATAGATCATGTACAATTAACTATGAAAAATAACATCAGTGTGGCATTTTAGCTCCAAATGTTTGCGTTCATCTTGAAACGAGATAATGACATTTTTAAAAAACATGGTATGTAAACTTTCTGAAACAGTAAGGATCAGTGATTCATTCACAGATAAGGAGACATTTTGCATTTAGGATTTGTTAAGCAGCTGCTCTTTATTGTTTTAGAAATTGTTACCATTTCTCTTCCCAACAAAATGAATATTGTTCTGCCAATGCATTGTCATGGATACAAAACCTGCTCTACACTAGGTAACTTACAAATTTACATATATAGTTATCTACTCTGTTGTAAAAATTAATAAATTAAAACAATAAATAGTCTTTTATTTGACACAAGCAGCAGAGGTATCAAAAGGCTTTTAAAAGAAACTGTATTTCTGTAACTGTATTTCCCTTGGATATCCATAAAGGCAAATTCAACAAGGTGTCCCCTTTATCCACTCCTGATTTGTAGCCTTCAGATATTAACTGTCCAAAAAGGCATTTTTACCATAAAAGTGATGGATAACTCAACTGAGGAGCTGGAGACATGTTAGGGGCACATGGTGCTAGGTCAGTGAGTTGAGACAGTTGAGATTGTTTGTTGCCTAGGAATGTGGACAATCCCTGCCCCCTTGTCCTGTCCCACTCCCCCATCCCACCACCTCAGAAGTTGCCCAGAATGCCGTCCAATGGTGGCATACATGTTTCTCAACCCCCCACACCTTGCTATCGCTATAGCTCAGGGGAGTGGAAAAGAGGCATGTGAAGTGGGAAACAGGGTTGGGTAGATAACCCTGCCAGTAGGACCCCTGCACAGCGCCTACGTATCAGGAGGCTGCAGGAGGCAGGAGCTGGGCCTGGAGAGTTCATGTCTTGTCAGGTTGCCTGAGGGAGGTCATTTCACTGCGCCAGGACACATGAAGTTGCTGATTAGTGTTTGCATCGAGTGGGCAGGCCAGAGATAAGTGGAGAGGGAGACAGATGTCAGGGGGGATGAGGGGGAGGGGGACAACTGGCCCACAAGTTCCCACCAGGCTGCACACACTTTAGAATGTGCTTGGTTCAGTCCTTTGGGAAATTGTGTGCCTTTTATTCTTGTGGGTATGAGGACACACCTTGACATCACTACTGGCAACATGTTGACACACGATCTCTCTCACGCTGTCTGAATGATATTCATGGCTTTAGCTGTGTTAGATGAAGTCCTTCTTTCTGTTTTGCTGTTTAAAACATATTTGTCCTTACTCACTGACTTGGAGCGCACAAAGTTTCATGAATAGTGAATGTGCACTTCCAGTGTCACTGAGTAACCCTTACAGAGATTCCAACAATTGTCCATTTGTTGAAGACAGTTTTGGTTTATCTCCTTTTCCAGCTTTTTGTTAGTTCTGTGTCTTTACTCTTACTGTAAGACTTTACAAACTGTTGAACCCTCTCAAAGCATGGACTATCTGCAGCCACACTCAGCCACCACCATGCCTTCAAACTTGTACTTGTAGGTGACCACGCCTGTGTCATCCAGATACAACAGGGAGATGGGGTCCAGCTTGGTGGGCACGCAACAAGCTCGTGCTGCCTTCTGAGGACTGTTGATGTTCACCAATGTCTGGACAATGGCATGCTTGGTGGGTGTGACGTGCTTGGTCAGAGGAAAGGAACATATGCCAGTGCACTCAAAGGCATCGTAACCGGTGGGTGCCAGAATCCAACTGTCCCATCCAATATCTTTGAACTCTACGTACAGAGATTGTTTCTTGCAATGGTTTCCCTTGGCATTGCGACGAATTCGGGATGCTGTGTCATAGATCAGATTGGAGCGCATTTGGATGAGGTCCTCTTCATCTGGCTCAGCTTCTTCAACACCCTCATCCCTGTCCCTCCCCTGCTCCCCCCACAGCCCATTCAGGCCAGTCCCCAAGTCATTCTGGAGAACCATGTTAGAGGTTTCGTGGTCAATCATCTCGTTCAGCTCACGCTTGTCATCACGGTGATCACTACTTTGGTCATCAGAGAAAACAATCAGCAGAGGTTTGTGTTTTTCCTCAGGGCTGGTGTCAATCTTCATGTCCCCTTCAGGTGGATTCCTGTCTTTGTTGTCCCCTGTCATCCCTTGAACATCCTCTTCATTAGCCATGCTGGAAATGTGCACCTCCAGCCGGTGCGTGCTTCCACGGTCAGATTTACGCCAGCGTTGAACAGCAGCAGTGAGGTCAAAGGCCTGCCAGCCGTTATCAGTGCCATAGACCTGACGTGAAGCCAATTCCACCAGCTCTATCCGCTCTCCTCCCCCTCTGAATTTGTCGCCTCTCACAGTGTTTTCATCTGTCACGTTGTCATCTCCGTCATGCGATTCCAGTTCATAGATAGCAACCTTGCGGTCAACACCAGCATACAGGTGGCGGTCAGTCTGGACAAGGGTGTAAAGGCGAAGCTCAGCTGCTGTGATGCGTTCATGATGGGGGACAGACATGTTGAAGAGGAGTGGGTGACGCCTCACTCCTCCAACTCCCACAACACTGGGAGATGAATCTGGGGAAGAGAAATAAATGGTTGGTTAAAATTATGCACATTTTGTATAGTCGTTTTATCGAGGTTTTCACTTGAGTTCTGCAATGCATCCTATCCCTATCTAACCTCATCCTAAGAATGTCAGAATAAGAATCGCATTTTGATTGGAACATTGCCTAGCAAAGAGAAGTAACAAGTAAGCTTAGATTTAATCAACAAATTATTTGTTCGTACACACTTGAAGCTACAGTCTACTTGAAAAACTACACATGTATACAAGAAGACTCTTTTTGTCTTACATTCTACTTACATTTGGCCTTGCAGAACAGAGAGTGATGAGAAAAATACAGATCATATTTAAATGAAAAAAAGCTCAATAAACATGCCAGCAACTAAGAAAGAAAAAGTAGTTCTCGTTTTTAATCAGTCTGTATGATCAACAGGTGCATCATCATGTGGAGCAGAGGATCTTTACCTTCATTTTTGAAGCTGCGGATGATGCTGGCGGTGGGCATGGCAGTGCGGTCATTAGCGAAACGGTTATAGAGCTCCATCATGTACTCAGGGGGCTCTTCTCGCATGCTTCCAGGAGGCAGGGGAGGAGGACTCATGCCAGACAGGTTGAAAGTCCGCAGAAACTGTTCCTTCAGACTCTCCAGCAGGCTCTGCATGTTCATGTTGTTGCCCTGCTCCAGCAGTGACGGATCCACCACGCCTCCATGACCATCTCCCAGCCCCGGAGCAGAGCGATGCCTCTGATGGGTGTTGGAGATCGGGCTGCTCTGTCCACGGAGAGGCCCCTGGAGCAGCAGGATGGAAAACACCAAGAGCAAAGTCTTGGAGCTGCAGATGGTTCCCGGTTGAGAGACCCAAATGCTCGCCATGGGAAAAACAATCCGCAGCTTTCTATTGTACACCCCCGGGATTGATGCAACAGCAAAACAAAATTATTGTGATCTCTGAACGCCTTAATCCAAAGGTTAATTTAGATTGTGGTCAGTTCATCTGTAGTCTAAGAAAGTTCTGGTTCCCTGGCAGTAGGCAGTAGTGTTGTTGACCCTTGCACTGACCAGTGTGAGCGCCTCTGCAGGAGTGTGTATTCCTGCTGCTCTCTTCCAGATCTCACAGCATTTATTCTCATGCACACCTTTTGATGTCCTTTGCGACAGGGCTGCAGTTCCGGTGACAGGGTGGCCAATGCTTGGCTCTGTCCGCCCAAGTCATCTCTGTTGTGTCCTCTCCTCTGTCAGTCTCTCTCTGTGCTCTGCGCTCTTCTTCCCAGCTCTTTCTTTCTGACTCTTATCTATGATACTGTGGGCTCTGCATTGCTCAGTGCTTATGGTCTCTTTGCTGGTGTGTGTGTGTGTGTGTGTGCATGCGTGCGTGCGTGCCTTCAACTTTGTGTGATGCACATGAGCGTGTGTTATCTCACAACTTCCTTAATGAGGATTTTGTAAACATTGTCCTGTAGCCTCTTCCTTGTGGAAGCGCTATTTTGTTTGGGTGGGTGCTCCATGGTTGATATTCTTCATTTGTTTATTTGCTTTGTAAATGGTGGAGTTCTGTGAGCTGCTGTCTAGGCTCCATTGACCATTTCTTTTTGACAAAATACACCAAGGGTCTGTTGATATCGTTGAATGTAACAGGATATATCTATTAGACAACACTTGTTCAAATGAAATTGAAATGCAATGAGGTGTGAGGCCTTAATGATCGAGGATGAAAGATACTGAGCGTCTGGAAACATTTCAAGTAGACAGCAGAGTTGTACAAAATAATTATTGTAATGTGCTCATTCAACAATGTAACAATCATCCCCCAACCCTTACGCCCCGCCACCGCCACCACCCACCCTGTTGTGCTTGCTAAAATGTTCTGTGTACTTCCTCTTCTGGTAAGTGGACACTGTGTCTGAAATTGGTTATCTGGGTACAAGAGGCTCCTTCGAAAAAAGTGCAAGAACAAGGACGTGCACCACAAGAATAGATGAGGCACATTCTCAAAGTTTCATGAGGGGTACACGTACACATTCCTCTTGATAAGGGAGACACCAAGTCAAATGTGATGTAGGTATGGGAGCTGGGTGACTCATGGAGAAAGACTTCCACCATGCAACAACCTTGTTGAAACAGGCTGGCACTGGTTCGTCACCTGAACCCTCATCCCACAACACAACTTCCTGAGCTTCTTTGGGTGACCTGCAGATACACTCCTGAATGCAGTGCGTCACAGAGATGGGAAGGAATGAGCTTTTCCTGCCTCTGCCACTCATCTGCCAGGCTGACAGTTGACAGACATGCTGTTATCTGTCACTTTGTTGAACTGCTGTCGCAACAGACTATCACATCTTCCTGATGGCCGTAAGAAGGCTTGATAATGCACACACACACATTCACACAGTCAGCCCCATCCATATGGTCTGTATTATGGACCTCAGTTGTAACAGTTAAAGAGGTGGTAGCATGCTTTTTGGCTTTTCCCCTCTCCTTTATTGAGTTATATCTCTTCTTTTTTGTGCATGTAACAGGTTTGCAAAGTAAAAAAAGCCCAAAGTCCAGCTCAAAGGGAGTTCCCATCTCCCACAGAAAGCTCTGCTCTGAACTGCTTGAAAACTCGTTAGTAGTCCAGCCCTTCACTTCCTTTACTTATGACGTCACAATGAAAAGGCGTCATAAAGCTTGCCAAGTGGCTAGCGGGGTCAGGCACGTCCTCAGACCAAGCTAGTCTGAGCGGAGGCCCTTTGGCTCGACTCACCTTTGTTTGGTTTTCCATTGTAGAAATGTTGCACCTGTACCTGCTTCCAGGCACTTTTTTTCGTATCACCTCACCTCCGTCTCCAGCTGAGGGAAACTAAAATGTAACGTGAAAACCCGACAGACTGCTGATTGGTCAGAGAGAATATTCACTATTCACTGCATCATCATTGCTGCACCAGACAGAGGCCAGCAACAGAAAGTTTTATATTTTACAGTTTTCGTATGGAATTTCATCACTAAATCCACTACTGAGAAGTTTTGAGGTGAGAAATCAGCTGTGTAGATTTCGAATATTGACAGTTTTACGAGAAGTGATGGCAGAACAAAAATGTGCTGGAATATTTTTGGAGTTGAGGAGCTCACAGACCCCTCTGCTCCCACCGTCACACTGACGCTGCAGCAGCAACGGCAGAGGAAAACACAGCTGGAAGGTTTTCATACCGTTTATCTGTCTTCTGAGGAATGTTGAAACATTTTAACTTAAAAAAGAGAAAGCCGTGTGGATTGCTGGTGTGTGTGTCGCATTGAACATTATGTCACAGCAGTTGTGTGTGGCGTCGCTATGACGACAAGCTACGTACTATCTCTGGGTACTATCTGCACGGAGCAGGACCGAGTACAGTCGAGTCTATCGATTTGCGCTATGGTAGAATTTTTCGGCAAGGCAGCATAGATCGTCAGAACACCGGCAACAGTTCAACGTTTAGTCCTAAAAGACGATGCAACTCCGACTCTGTTTGGGCCTGGAAATTCACAACCACAACCTGTAAGTATGCTTTATTGGTTGTGAATTATATTTAAAATAAACATGGCAATGTAACTTCACAGACTGTTCAAGTGCGGAGTTGTTGTAAACGTTGGCTTTCACAGCTAAAGTTATAGCTATAATGCTAATGTTACACCTGATGTGAAAGCTACTGAGCAAACGTTCAAATTGTTTGGCCAATTTTTATGTAAAATTGAGTTGAAATATGATGATTTTTGTAGTGGTTTATGGTAAGATGTGGAACAATGATATTGTGTGGTTGTGGACTTGTGAGTAACTTACACCATCTGCTAGGTTACGGTCGCAGTCTGAAGCGGCTTTGTTTGGATCACACTACCTTGTTTCTTACGACCCGCCCTTCTCTGCTTCTGATTGGCTAGTAGTCCTTACCTTACATGTGCAACTCCCAACAAAGAATTTGTACAAGTAAGATGCATCACTCTGTAGTTCAAGAGCGGAGCGAACAACACACAGGGTGAAAAGAGGAGCTGCAGCAATGTGCAGTATGACAAAAATATGGTGTTTTTTTAAATTAAACCATGTAAACCTGTTCTGGTATAACCCCTAATTAAGATTTTGAACCTGAAAATGAGCAGAATACCACCTCTTTAATTTAGGAATGCCAAAGTTGCTATTTTTGGATTGAACCTTCCAAAAGGAAATGTATTGTGCTGATATCCAATGTCCAAATTTCATGATTTTCTTCTGCATTTCTCAGTGTTATGTTTTTTAGAATGGGAAAACTCCCAGATAATACCATTCTCACCACAAAATATCTATTAAAATCCATTAAGGTTTTTTCAGTCCACCTTACAAAACTAGGTCTATATACGCTTTTAGTTGATAGGGTTAGGGTTACCCAATCAGAGGCAGAGTAGGGGGCAAGACTTGATGCAACGCTGGTGTCCGTCAAGTGAGACTTGTCAAAAATGGGGAACAAAATAACGTGTGCCATCACAGGTGGTTAGCCTCTGTCTGCTAGCTCCATCCACACTCCAGCTCTTTACCCATTTTTGGATTTGTCATCATTTCAGGGTTTGTTTAATTATTTCCTGTGTTGATCAAGTCCTTCCTCATATGTCTTTGTTTAACTTCACTTACTGTTTTGTGTTTTCCCACCTGTGTGATTGTTGACTAGTTCTCCTCCCCTCACTAGTGTATTTAGTCTGTGTGTTCCCCTTCCTCAGTGGCTCAGTGCCTGGAGCCAAGGCACTGAGCTTCATAATTGCTCTTCTGAAACGTCAAAGGCAGTCATCACTGCTTCTTAGCAAAGTACAAATACTCATAATATGTTGTGTTGGTATAGTAAATATGTGGTGTAATATCATTTTATACTTCAACAAAAACACTCACATTTGTGCTGTTTTATTAATTTACCACTTAAATGAAACATCAAATAATATCCTATTTACTCCAAATATGACAAATAGTATTTTGTGTGGCACTGGCACAAACAAATGAGCCAATAATTTATCCAATCCCACAATCCAGTGTCCCACTAGAGGACAATAGTACTTCCCATAACCAGTTCATGGGAAATTAGCTCAGAGTCATAAATCCATATACTAGTGAGTCTGAAAATGACTGTTAGGTAGGAGTATGTGGCTTTTTGGTGAGGAACTCCTGAATCTCTCTTTGCAGCTCCGCATTGCGTCTCTGGGCCTCGTCCCGGCTGCGTTCTGCATTTCTCAGGCAGATCTCCAGAGCAGCCACACGGCGTCGATCTTCCTCCAGAGCCGACTGGAGCTCTGCTACTGTGGTCTTCAGTTCCTCATTCTCCTTTTGCAGACTGCAAGAGAAAGTGAGAGAAAAAAGAGGGTTCAGACATTTAGTAAAAAGTCCAAAAAGCAACTTTTATGGAAACAATGCCCTGTAGTGTACAAAAGAATCAAGTCCAAAAAGACTATGTAAGTAATAAGCCCTAAAATTTTTTTTAAAACAACCCAGGGGAGTGGGAATACTACTGCTGTTTTTAATATAAATCAACTTGTTCCAAATGTTTTCTGCAATAGGTGTCATTTTCTTGACAATATTCCCAACACAAGAAATACTGCACTTATGAAAAATCTATTAACTCATTATTTCACACTGCTATCATGTTGAAAGAAAAAAAAATGGCTGAATATGAAACAAAATTAGATGTCAAAACACACATTCTTTTGAGTATAAGATCAAAAGAGCCAAATGCCCCCAGAAAATTTTTTTTTTGTGTACCACGGGTGTGTAGTGAGTTAGTTGTGAGGTGGTCACTGTGTCTCCATGCGGTTCCTCAGCTGAACTCACCTGTCTACAAGCTGCTGGCTGTCTTGCTTCTTCTCACACCCTCTGTTGACCTGCTGAACTGAACCGCTCACTGTCACGGTCCCAACACTGTTGATGAGACAGCATCCGAGCAGGCCCGGAGTCACTGACAGGTTTTTGGGAGCCAGTAGTAGAAGAACCTGTGTTGTCACTTCCTCTTCTGGCTGTTAACCTATCCTCTCCTTCCTTTTTAGTCATCGGAGACCCCCCGAACAATGAACCTGAACTCCGGAGATCCAGTATCTTAAAAATGTCCTCTGACAATGTCCCGCTCTTCTCCTCCACGGTCTCCTGGATGTTACTCCACCGGTTGAGGGCGTCGGCCTTGGCTGCCATCCCGGTGAGGGGCAGTTGAATGTGGGCAGGGTCTGCGTGCGTTTGCGGGGACTTCCAAGCCAGTCGTCTGTGGTAGATGAGAGAGGCTCCTGAAGGTTTTTTGGGAGTTGCAGTTTCCCCTGTCTAGACCTGGACTGTCATTGTCCTCCTCTTCT